CCGGGGGCGCAGGTAGCCGCGGAGCCGCTGCTGGAATTCCTGGGAGGCGAAGTAGTACACAAAGGGGTCCAGGCAGTTGTTGAGGCAGCTCAGGCAGAGCGTGAGCTTGTACACGTGGTAGTAGCTCGTGCCCAGGAACAGGCGGCTGACCATGTGCGCCAGCAGCACGAAGTTGTTGGGCGCGAAGCAGGTGACGAAGGCCAGCAGCACCACGGCCGCCAGGCCCACCGCCCGCCGCCGCTGGCCGTGGCCGTGGCCGTCGGGCGCGCGCAGCAGCGTCAGGATGGTGGCCGTGTAGCAGCCCACCGTGACCACGAAGGGCACGAGGAAGAGGACGATGAAGAGCGTGAACAGGAAGATGGCCCACATGGCCACGCTGGGCAGCATGGTGGACTTGAGCACGTCGAAGCAGGTGACGATGCCCAGCTCCTGCACGGCGTACGTGAGGTCCGTGCGTGCCAGCGGAGACAGCGCGGCCAGCAGCAGCAGCCACATGCCGGCGCAGGTGGCCACGGCGTAGCGCCTGCGCCGCCAGCGGGCGGACACCAGCGGGTACACCACGCCCAGGAAGCGGTCCACGCTGATGCAGGTCATGGTGAGGATGGACGAGTACATGTTGGCGTAGAAGGCCACGGTGACGGCGTTGCACAGCCAGCTGCCGAACACCCAGTGGTGCCCGTTGCAGTGGTAGTAGATCTGGAAGGGCAGCACGCTGGCCAGCGCCAGGTCCGTGACGCTCAGGTTGATCATGAAGATGACCGACGGCGACTTGGGCCCGATGTGGCGGCACAGCACCCACAGCGAGAACAGGTTGCCCGGGATGCTGACCAGGGCCACCACCGAGTACACGGCGGGCAGCACCACGGCGATGGCTGGGTCCCTCAGCATCTGCAGCGTGGCGTTGTCCGGACGGGTCATGTTGATGTCCATGGTGCCGGGTGCCTGGCGAGGGCTCAGGGCCGGTCTGCAAGGCAAAGCACACCGCGTGAGGGGGGCGGGGACGGGTCCCCGTGACAAGGGCCCGGGCTGGCACAGACAGGCAGCTCCGGCTTCCCCGCCCAGGCGCCGGACCCTCCCTCCCGTCCCCCGGGGACCAGGCACGCCAACGACTCTGCCAGGGCAGAGCACACGGGACTCTTCCTGTCACTGCCCACGGCCGAGGTCACTGCACAGCCGCCCCTGCCACCTTCCTTCCGTCCGTCCCACAGTGGGAAGTGCGGGAGCGTGCCGCAGGCACCGGGCGCAGCCGTTAACACTGAGGCCACGAGGGTGCTGGAGGCAGCGACAGTTTCAAAGCTACAAAGTCACCAGCTCATGGCCACAGGCGAAGGGACGATGTGTCCGCAGCGGACGCCTGAGGCCTGGAGCAAGGCCGTCCCCGTGAGCACAGGCCTTCCGACGGGCCTGTGGCATCCGTGCACCCTGAGTGATACCCGCATGGCGGCCCGACGTGCCGGCGCCTGGTCTAGGCACAGACCCGCAGCGCGGGGGTGTGAGCACTGTCCGGTGGCAGGCTCTGCTGCCCGGCTCGGCTGGGGCCCTGTCAGCTGTCCAGCCGCCCGCCCTGTGCTCCAGCGGCTCTGAGGGGCCGGCTCGGAGCTCCACGAGGCTCTGGGTGGAAGGAGGAGGCTCGGGTGCACCCGTGGGGGCCGGAGGAACGTGGATGCCTCCGGGAGGCGGGGGCGCTGGCTGTCACGCCGCTGGGACACACAGGCCCAGCCTCCCGGGCTGTTTCTCTCTGCAGCTCTCTGAGCCCCGAGTTCCGCCCCCACGGAGGAGTGGAGAACCCCCCGGCCTCCCGTACACACACGCCCGGCTGCTCACTGCCGGCCCCTCGGATCTGCCCTCACGGCCGCGGCCGAGCCCAGGGCAGTGTCCTCTGTGCGCCGTGCTGGGTGGGCCCACGTCCACGCTGTCGCATGTCACGGAAACACCGGCCACGCGGCTCGGCAGGCACGGGTTTGGTTGGGTTTGGTCGGGTTTAGTCGAGCGGGTCTGGGGCCTTGCGACCTTGGTGCGCAGGACCTGGCCATGGGCGCGTCCGGGCTCCGGATTCCCACAACCAGGACGAGGGGGAGAAAAGGCGCCGCGTTTTGGGGT